CAGAATATGAACCATATTTTACTATCTGCATGTGTGTCTATGTGCATTTGTTACTGTGAATGTCTGTGCATGTTCCTAAATGTGAAGCAGAGCTTCGTTGATACTTTGACGTAGGTTAACTTGAGAGTTTTAAAATATAGTAAAATATTTGAAAAGGTCCTGTTTATAACCTTTGTGGTAGGGCTGCAACTTTTTTTTTATTAATAATCAGATAGCCAAAGGTTCCTTAAAGAAGACTTTTTTTTTAAACCAGGTAAAACTAAAACTTAAAACTAAAGCAGTTCTGGATAGAGCATACTGACATGTTTTTTTTTTATCTTAAATGCAAAATGTTTGGTTTTTACAATTTTGGTATAATTACAGTATACAGTACCTAAACAGATTTTATTGTTATTTTGTGGAAATTTCACAACTCTAAGTTGGTCGCTCTGTGAGCTAAAGGCGTGTTTAGTCTCATAACAATAATAACTGAACTTTTATCTGTCTCACAATGGAGAAATTCACAATCTGCATCTTAACCCAAGGGGCGCCCTGTGGCGCTGGGAGCAATCCAGAGTGGAGGCTGTGGGGATCGAACCGGGTAATTGCAACCTTCTCAGAACACAAGCGCACTGCTCAAACCACTAGGTCACCACTCTCCCTACACTCCTGTAATTGATTACTAAATTTGTTGACGATTATTTCAATAATCGATTAATAAACAATCCGATTTATTGTTTCAGCCCTACTTTATGGACGGGATTTGTAGGTGCCGCCAAGGGCCAGAAGGGGTCTAGTTTGGGGACCAAAGGATTTTGTCCCTTATTTTTGCAGATGATGTGTTTCTGGTGGCTCCTTCCCAAGGATCGCAGCTGAGGGTGAAGCAGCTGGGATAAGAAGCAGTTCTTCCAAGTTGAGGGAGTGGTTCGTGAATTGAAAAAGGTGGCTTCCCCCCCTTCAGGCTTAAATGTCCTCCTTTAAAGTAGTTTGAGTGTCTTGGGGTGGTGTTCACAAGTGAGGGGAGAATAGAGCAAGAGATGGACTGATCAGTGCGGCCTTGGTTATAATGCAGACAATGCACCAGACAATTGTGATGAAGAAAGAGATGAGCCAAAAGGGAAAACTATTGATCTACTCATCTGTCTATGTTCATACCTTCATATATGGTCATGAAACTTGGATCATGGCTAAAAGGTGACTCAGATATCTATTTTTTATGATATATTTATCTTTTTGTTTTTTTTTTCCCCCTTGTCCTGTTCCGCTTAATGGAAGGTAGAATTAATTTCTGACTGCTATAGTTGTGCTGGACAGCTTTACTTTTTCAAGGGAGCCTTTACAAATATAAAGCCTAATAGTCCTCTTGTAATTATATTGATAATTTTTTGTTAATGGTCTGACACTTCTGTTTCTTAATCCAATATAGATTCATGTAAGTGTTTCTCCATTTCTGTTATACAAACTCTGCCCAGATTCTTAATACTTTAAATTACAACTCTCTGTCATTTATGAATTATATCTTGTAATATTTTGAATCTTTATTTAAAAGACATACAGCCTCAGTCAAACCCTTAGCATTCAAAAATCTGATCCTGATGCAAAGTATAAGGAGTTCAAAATACCACAGTTTAACTATTCAGGTATATTTAACTAGGAAATGAGCCAGCAATGATTTCACAAAAAAAGTAGGCAGATGGAGCCCCTTTAGGAGAATGCTAAAGAAGCTGACTCCATCTCCAGGCCAACATATTTTACCTTTATAAGGAAAGCTAGGAGTTTTTCTCCCATCTGGCACACAGGCGTGAGTGTGTGGAAGTTTGACAGTAAACTAAAGTATAACAACACTAAAGGTTGGCATGGGGGGAAACTTCTCTTAAAACTTCTCGGAACAGCTCGGGAAATAATTCAAGTGTATTGTTTTCAAAATCTCAGTATGTTCTGTATTTATCTAAGCAGCAAATTTTTTTAAGGAAATAGCTGGAGCCTTTCTTCATTAAAACATTCATGAAAATAATGATTATGCAAAAAAAAAAAAAAAAATTTGTAAAACAAAACAAGGTGAAAAAACAGGATACATTTTAAAAGAGTTTACAGTTATCTAAAAATTAGGCAAATTACACAAATGGATAATGATAAGAAAAAGGAAAACTAAACATCTCTTAACATCCACCTAAATGCAAGTAATCCTCGCCTTTTTGCATACCCAAAAAGAAAAGCAAATAACTCAAGAACTGTAGGCCCAAATTACATGTGTGATACATCATACAAAAACTAACACCCTCTAGTTTCAGAAAATATAAATGAAAATAGTGTGACCAAAACACAGCCAAAACTGCAGCAGTTAAAACATGGTTATTTTTTTTCCTTCCTGAAAATATTTTTTCTTTTTTGAACAGCAGTAACAACGATATGCTTGAAAATAGGCATGTGTCATTGCTTTACATTAATTCTGCATTATGTCAACAACAACTGCAGAAAATTTCAGACCTCTAGGTATAACGGTTCCACAGCAATGGGACATTTAACTTTTGGAGTTAGCAGTATCTCCAAACCTCACCAAATATGCCAAATTATTCGAAATTGTGCTTATTGCTTTTACCCCAAAAATATGACAAATATTTTTGAAGCAAATATTTTTTAATGTTTCTAACATTCGATCTAATTATCCAACAGTGTGCAATAATCCATTCACTAATTTGCCTTTGTGCCTTTTACGCCCAGCTTTATATCGGGGCTGTAATATTCATATTAGCCATGCTTAACCTTTTTTTAAAGGAATTTTCATTGGCTAGAGAATAAAACATTGCATGTGGACTTAAACAATAGCAGCCGGACTTTATGAGCCATAATGCGAGTGGAACAATGCGTTAAGAAGGCAGCTGAGAGGGAGCGCTTGTGACGGTTTGAGGGCCATCCCTGCGTCAAATACCACTAAACGAAATTGGTGGGGACACTTTTGTTTTGAAGGCTGGAAGGTGAGGAAAACAAACATACCCAATATAGACCTGAAATATCTGTGTAATCTATGGTAATTAGCAAGACGGTTAGCATTAGCTATAAGGATAGAAATTTTCTGATGGTAAAACAGACTTTATGGAGATTTTCTCATCATAGAATGTTTTTATTACGAATATGCTGGATTACTTATCTGTGGACCCTCATGAACAAATGAAATATGAACAATCTAAGATCGGATTTATAATACAGCACCAGGAACGCTTCAAAGGTAGAAAGTCGAAGCTTTATTTAAAAAAAATGTATTTAACATGCTGCTATATCTTTATTAATTGTGTTTTGGTGCTCATGCTGTCCATAAATGAATTGGGCAGTTGAATTGTGGAGAATCTGAGCTTCATAAAGATGTATAATATGTCTATATTGGTAAAAGTTTAACCGGTGTTATTTTCAAACATACTGCTGTGTTTGATGTAAATATACAACATGGTGCGCCAGCGACCCAGTGGAAGTTACGTAAGTGAAACAGAGTCTGTTATCAGCTGATTTGTTGAAAATTGAACATACAATAAGAAAATCTCTCTGCCTTGCAGCCTTCAACTGCTGGTATAGAAGATGTTTGTTATGAAGACTTTTGGCAGGTTTCTAAAGATCTGGGTTACTGCTGGGGTCTATATTTCAGAATGAATGCACGCAAAGTCTATTTTTTTGGTTACCTATAAAAAGCATATGACCATCAATGATGGACCTTACACACAGTTTAAAGTGGTGACTCTTTAATCTTTTCAGCTGCAAAGCTTTTGTAAAAAGTATCCAAAAAACAAGAGACATTAAATTGAAGTTGTTGGCTGTAGAAAGCATGTCTTATTACAACTGAGGAGCTTAATGTCGTCCTTGTTCCTGCATGTTTTAGTCCTCTATAAAGGTGTTTTTGTGAATAAGTTCTACATGGTTCTTTACTCATTAGTTTAAAATTCAATCTTTAGCTCCCCCCTCAATTTACACTGTATGCATCATTTATATATATAATAAATATAATATATATAAAATTTCAAAAAAAGAAAAACCTACTTATAAAAGAAAACTAAACAAGCTAGCCATTTAGAAGCATTTACTGTGTAGGTTCAGTTCTATCATGGTAAAATGAAGCAGAACAAAACGTAAGAATAGTATTTTATAATAATGGTCACAACTATGTTTTACTAAATTTCGTCATTTCTTTGTTTTTTTCATGAAAGCAATTTGCTGTTCTGCAGTAGTTGGATTAATTTTGTAATATGACTAGACTTTAATGAACAAAATTAATCATTAAAGTGAAACTCGTTTCAATTTACCAACAGGTTCCTTTTTCAGCCTTTGGAATGATTTTGTATCGTCCCTCAAGAACAGTCTAAAAAACATTGTCAATTTGTTCCTCAGCAAATGGAGCTGATGTACAAAAACACTTTATAAGTACAAATCTATATTTCCTGAAATTATCAGTACTAGCTTGAGCACAAACTGTTTTCCATTTATCAGCCATGTTTTCTGTCTTCATTTAAATTTAATAGCAAGCATGGCCAAAAACAGATGGACACTCACATTTATTAAACATTATATTAATATAGTCGTTTTTTTTAAGCAATATTTTTTATTTCTAGCTTTTTTTAATAAGATTTTTTATGCTTTACTTAATCCTCTCGAGGTCAAGTGAAAGGAATTCACAATTTTTAACAAGAAAAATCTTGTTGGCCCCTGATTACTTTCAATTTGACTGATTTTGAACCATATTTCAAAAAATTTCAGAGACAACTGGTCTAAAGTGAATACCTTTCTTCAATTAATTTTCCAAAGCGCTCATTCTTTTTCAGATGGAATTCAATAACTGATAAAAAGCTTGAAAATGAATCAAAGCAAACAGTCATTAAGATTTAAATGCCATATGGATCAATGTGCAAAATCTTAATAGAAAAAAATGAGTTATAAACTTTTGCACAAAGGTTCTAATTCTGACGTATATACGCATTTGATATTTATTCTAACAGCGATCATAAGAAACAGACCAAAGTACGAGCTAATGTCCTTACCTGGCAGGTCAGAGAAGAGTAGGATGCATTCATTGAAGCCATTAGCCAGCAGACGGTCCCTGAGCTGCTGCAGTATGGCGACGCCAATACAAAAAGGGAATGAAGAGCTTCCTAGCAGCAATGTGTCCCACAGGTGGAAGATTTTGTGCAGAGGAAATACATCTACATGCCAAAAAGAAAAACAAATACAACTGAGGTATTGTGTTATGACCTGGGGGAAATTGTTTTGATGAGATCTAGTTCTTTCAATTCATAATAAAAGATGCACAATCAATCTGTAGGTTAAGAGCATGTGATACATTTGTGTTTGTGAATTAAAATCACAAGCTCACAAGGCAAAATTGAGCAGTGCCTGAAAGCATATTTGGTGTAGGAGGCAGCTGGGAAAAGGTTTTAGGTGGGCGATGTTGCAAAAACAAATGACTGGAAGAGCATCAGCAGGCTCTGGAGCTTTAGTCCATGAACCTTCATTATGCGCCAAGTCTTTTCAGGCCAAAGAAAACCACATCCTGATAACGCATCCCTCTGCAATTATTATTTCGATCATGACTTTCAGTGTTCCTAAATATATAATTTCTTTTCTCTTGACATGCATAAACTTCAACCAGACTTGGTGCTTCTGTTTATACTATTCAGATTTATTTTCTCTTTTATAAGGAAGCAAAATCCCACTGTGGTGTGGTGGGCTGAGAGCTGGGAGAACAGCTCATAGGGTCTCCAATACATTAGCAGTCAGCTGAATAGACTGGTAGGAGTGAGCGACAGGTAGCGTGTCTGTATGTGAAAGGAAGCAGGGCCTCCAACCTTGCTTCGTATTGCATTGAGGACATTAGTAGTCAGAGAAGACTACCTGAATGCTGGACTCCCACGCTGGTTCAGTGGAAGGATGTAGAGCAGAAGTGTGCCAAACTAAACTCTGCATCCTCACTTGAAGGAGCATGTGTATAATTAATTTAAGCTAGTGTTATTACATTGCCAAGAACAGGAACCATATTAACCACCATTGTGGCTAAGATCAGAGAATAGTTATTTTAAAATAAAACAAATGTGTCCAAATTCATAGAGCTGAGGTTAATAGAGTTAGTGTCACTGGTAAATAATTAGCTGGTTTTATTAATGACTTTAAATTATGGAAAGATCAAAGCAGAATTTAACAAACAATATAAAAAACCCCCCACAATTTTAGCAAATTAACTCTTTATAAAAGCTGAGGTAAGTAAATCATTATGAGTGCAGACAAATGGTCTGGAAAGCATTGCATAAGATTATAAGTAGTAGTAAACCATTTGCTTAAACTTTGCAGCCTATGCATGATATAGCAGCGGTCTCCAAGTAATTCTCATGTAAAACAAATAGTCAACAAGACAAAAATTATCTGGGGAACTAACCACTAGAGGTTAAGTATCAGATCCATAGAAAGTGGATGCTGATCTATTTAAACAACCACAATGGATGACACAATGCAACAGGCAATATTTTGACAGAGGTGGTATAGCTGTCTTAACAAAACTGAAACCATCTAAACCACCTGGAGTTGGGAAATCTTGCTAAAAAAAAAAAAAAAAAAAAAAAAAATCAGTGAGTCTTATCCAATTCAATAACACCTCAAGATGAGGATGATCTGCTAAAAGCAGAAATATTAATCGTTAATTATATTTTGTTTTGTATGCAACTTCATTTTTTAAATTTACATTCTATCCTTTTATAAGAATTATGTTGACCACAGAAATATTGTATTCAAGAGCAATTAATAAAAGGGTTTATTTCTCATTTTCATATAATATCAGCTATAATTCTCTAAAGTTTATATAAAAAAAATTTTTTTTTTTTTTTCTCTAAGGTTTTTTCAGGCCGTAGTTTTCTTTATTTATATTATTTTTGAAAGTAGCCTAACAGGAATTGACAGAGATGGGGGGTTAAAGGTCGATGGGTCGGAACCCGATTCTCAACCAACAGAGGATTTGTAATTTCATTTTACAACACTTCTGATGAGTTTCTGGAATCAAATTGTCATGTGTTGCATGACTGATTAAACTAAATTAAGCCTTTTAACATATTAAAGCCTTAATTTAGTCCTTTATGACTTGGATCCAGCCTCCTACAATGTAAGAGTATTGTTAATTACAGCTTTGGGATGCTTTGTTATTATAGTTCTACTGACAAAAGGGTCTTCAAACTGTAGTAATTTACCTTTATCGGTCTACCTAACTGGTGCTCTAATGTAAGGAAGCTTAAAAAAACAAACACATTAAAATAGTAACTTACGTGTAAACATTGTGAGGAACCAGGGGATAGCATAAAGCTGTAAGGAAAAAAAAAAACACACACAGAGAGGACAAGGAGAGGTTAGATCAGTTACTGGCCTTTATAAGCTTGGATTTTTATAAACCATGTCAAACACGACTCCTCATTTTAAAAAAAGTCATCAATATTAATTTTTTTTTAACTGGAGATACTCCTGACTGAGAGGCAGAACAAAAATCTACTGAAATAAATAAAGGACTTATTTATATTCTGAAGCAAAATGGAGAAAAACAACCCAAACACTTTGCAAGTTCAGTGATCCTTCCTCTTTATGTCAGCTGAAAAATAAAAGAACACACTGACACAGAGACACGGTATTTGACATTAAACCTGTGAAGCACACCCTCAGCATCTTAGATCTGTAAGAGGAAAACTACAATTTGTCTCGGAAACGTAATTGACCTCCGATTCTAGAGGAGCTGGTAGCTACTCTGTAATAGGGACCTGCTTTCACGAATAGTGATGAATCAGGGTGTCTCTGCTTTCCCAGTATCATCCTGACTGAGGGCAGCCAGATTGGATTAGTGAAGGTGCAAATTGCAGACTCAATAAAGAAAATGGGACTAAATTGAAAAGTTCTGGAATTACACAACAGGCTAAATTCAATCTATTCGCTAACTATGCTAAGAAAAGAGGAGCGAAAGGAAAGCTTAAAGATCCATGATGGGTTTCTGTTTCACCTAAAAAAAAACTGACATAACAATAGCATAAATACTGTATTGTAAGGATAAAAATGAGAAAAGATTCTCAAAACTGCAGATACAGACTTAATTTTGTCAGTTTGAACTAAACCTTTTATGTCATGAAGCCAGATTAGATGTTAACTTCAGACTTCTATATCAAAAATTCTTATATTAACACTGCTTTTTTAACCACAGGAGAAACAGTAGATTTAATATCCATTATTTCTAGCAAAATGGTCTAACATGCTTGTCACCTGAATCAACTAAGATATCACAGACAAGGTAGACCCTGGTTACTGATATCAGGGTAAGTCAAAATTTGAAAGAGTTACATCAGCCAAGCTGCTATGATTTTCCATCAATCCTTTCTACTGGGCTGAATATGGTATGATGTGATAAGAGTGAGCTTTCTCAAGCTGCATTGAGAAAGACAAAAGTCAACCTTCGTCTTCCACCGCGTGTAGAGCAGCATAGACTTACCCATGGTTCTAAAGAAAGACATAATCTGTTGCTTTAAAGCTGCAGCATCAAAAAGTGCAGAAGGAAGCTACAGGCTCTGAGCCCCCTCTGTCAAATTGTCTCCGAGGCTCCTCCACAGATGACACTCATTCGTCAGCACCATACTAAATCCATGGACAGACGGCACAGACTTTAACCTTGTCACTGAGCAGAGCTGTGAGGAAGAAGGCAAAGGGCAGTGGAAATTGGCCGATAGTGAGAGAAATAAGCTACTCCTGGCAGAAGGCAGTCATTAAGATTGCCTGGAAGACATCAGCCGCTGTATAAATTACTCGCTGTGGACTATGGGGAGAACTTGACCGTGACCACCAATTCAGGGAGAGAGGATGCGGAGCAAAAAGTGTCACTGCCAATGAAGAGATATTCGCAGCAATCCAAAGATCGCAGTTTGGTTTGCCCACGGCAAGGAGCAAGAAAATAGGAGTAACTGTTCTAATCACTGAATTTACATTGAAACAAAAGCTGCTGTGTAAGATCAGCATCATGTCATATGTCCTGCATTGTGGGCTGCCGTCATTAGTCTGTCAGGACAATTTCATTCTGTGTAACTTACATCTGGAATGAAGCCAATCTCATTTAGGTGGTTGCTTAGCTCTGGGTCATGGAAAGCAATCATCTGGGAGAAAACAGTCAAGTATTCTGAAACAAAAGCATGAGAACATAAAGGTTAAAAAAATAAAAAAATCCTTTACTCTACAGCACGAAATAATTGTGGCCTAAACAGCTTTGAATCAGTTTATCCTTTTACAAGTTAATATTTCTTTTTAATTAACAGTGAAGAGAAATAACTAAGTTTTATGCTTGATCAGGTAATTATATTTTAGAAGTAATAAAATAGTTAATTGAAATGTGCAAATTTTTCTAATGACTAAATAAATTTCTGCTAATTTCCTTACAAATGTTTCTTATTATAGTATTTCACCTCTAAAAAGATATATGGAAAATGTATTATTATATAGGGTTGTACAAGATTTTTGTAAGAGGAAATTAAGAATTTAATTTTTTTAAGAACATTATGATTTCTGTCTTAGATCTACAAATGACTAAATATAGAGTCAAAATGGACAGCTACATATATTCATATACAGTACATCAAAACTAAGAGAAAGAAGAAAAAAAAGTTGCCAGACAAAAATTTTTTTAGAAAAAATGGTAATTAAGTATAATCATACATTTTTTGCATTTGATTTTCTTAGACTTCAATATAAATTTTTTACATAATTAAAAGGGTGTGTTATTGCTAAGCACATTACACTGTATTATGAAACTGGGGTTCTGCAAACTTTCAGTAAGGTGCATTTCAAACCACATAATCAAATTTAAAACTGTTTTGAACCAAAGGCCTTATTTACAAAACACAGCTTAACTTCTGTACTTCAGTTAAGTTTTGTTTTTGTTTTTTCAACTCTGGCATATGTTAAGTCTGCTGCCTTTACACTTAGGTTAGTTACCTGTAACACCTTTTCCACTCTGTAAAATGTTTGCATGCCTCAAGTTTTAATGTGTTTTCTGGTAGCAAATTTTAGCCACGAACTGAAATCCCAGTATGCAAACCGATTCTCCACATGTACAGAGGTGGTAAAGCTACGTTTACACCGCATGCAGTCAGACCCGCCTCAAGTGCATCTTTGATGCTCCTGAAGTGCATCCAGTATAGTGAGTCCAGATGCTTCTAATGCTTCTGTGTTCAATGTCAGAGAGAGGCTTTGTTATATTTGCTGTCATAAGTGGGTAAAAAGTAGTTTTTATATGTTTTTAAGTGAGAAAGTCAAAATGAGAACATATCTGTGCAGTCAGTTCATCAAGATTACGATCCTGTTTAAATATAATTTTTCAATCGGAGTCGGTCAGACCCCAGTACACAGGCGGTGCTCTGTCACTGGGAATCAAGCAGCAGCTGCCTCAGGCCTGTTCACCTCTTGGGGGTTTTCCCTACCGTTTGTAGTGGCTGGAAGTACATGATAGCATTTTTTCATGTACGTGGTACAAACTGCAGGCAACAGAATAATAAAAGCAAACATAATTTGCAGACAGGTTTCGACATTTTAAGTTAATTTAAGCAGGTTTTTTTTGTTTTGTTTTTTTTATTTTATATACTCTAATAAGAGGGAAATTACTTATCTGCATTGAACCCATCCCTTTGGGGAGCAGTTGGCTGCCATTGTGCGGCGCCCGGGGAGCCACTCCACCGCCAGTGAGTGAACTGTTTCAGAGAAGTGATCATAGCGTTCTGCATCAGCAGCCTTGTGTCTGTTTCCATGCCAGCTCCCAGATAAGCTTCTCTGATTGGTTGATGTGGCGCGTAGAACAGCAAAAATAATCTACAGAAGCACCATAGAGAGCGTTCTGACCAGCTGTCTCTCTCTGTGGTGTGGAGGCTGCAGAGCTTCTGACTGGAAGAATGTGAGGAGGGTGGTGAGGACAGCGGAAGGAATCATTGGGGCTCCTCTTCCCTCCATTAAGGACATTTCATCACAGCGCTGTGTGTCCCGAGCCCGTAATATCATCAAAGACCCCTCACACCCCCACCATGGACTGTTCTCCCTGCTGCCCTCTGGAAAGAGGTTCCGCAGCATCCGCTGCAGATCCACCAGGTTGTGCAACAGCTTCTTCCCCACTGCCATCAGACTGTTGAACCTTTGATCCACAATCCGAACTCTGCACCTATTGCACATTATCGGGCATCAAATGCTGCTGAACTTTTAACTTTTAGCCCTTTAAATTGTTCATCTCATTGTATTTTTCAATAACGCATTTTTTGCACAAATGCCATTTTGCACTGAACCACTGCAACTTGCACACTGTCTCTTATCCTCTGCACTGTTCACACTTTGACCACTGCTGCACTTTTTGTATTTTTCTATAACTCGTGCCATTGTGAAATATCAATGCAACGTTCATAAGCTGTATGTAACGCAATTTCGTTCTGTATGCACCCTGTGCATACAAAATGACAAATAAAGAAGTCTAAGTCTAAGTCTAAGTCTAAAAATGTTTCCAACTCCAGCATCTGCTGCTAATGATGCTCAGAAACCTGCTGATCTAGATGCACTGTAGGACCTTTTGATGCCCCTTGGTGCGTGTTAACCAGTGAATTTGCATGTAAACCAGCTGCTTCTGCTGCTCAAAGCACGTGCGGTTTGAACGTAGTAGAGAGTCAAATAAGAAGGATCATTTTGATATAAACTTTGGAATACAAACATCAGTTGCCTGTAGTTATTTAACAGTTGCTTGCACAAGAACTGCAGATCTTAGAGATGGTACTTTTTTGATTTGTGAAACACTAAATGTCCTTGAATAAATCTGGCCCCATAGGGCTGATGACCTGAATAACAACTGTTGTTTATGTTACAGCATATTAGTAGCAGATTTCCTTTACTACAACACATGGACACAAAAAATGTTGAAAATGCATTTCTTTAGGGAAAAAAAAAAAAAAAAAAAAAAAAAAACATAAAATCTTAGAGCTAGTATTAAAATTTTTCAAAATCAAGACAGACTGAGACTGTAGAGAAACCCTGATAATAGCACTCTATTCATTACAACACAATTGGAAATTGTATAACAGTTTACATTTTTGAAAGTCTAAACATTTTACATTAGCATCTGATCATACCACTTTGTTTAAACTAAATCAAACATTAACTACCTCTACAACACTGCCATTCGTTAAAGGATAAGATCTGATCTCTGACAGGGATCCAAAGAAGTGTGAGGCAGCTGTTTATCTGTCACACAGAAGCTGATTATCACATTTCACTGCAGGCATTTGCAGTTTCATTTGTTTCCATTTTTCTAAATGACATGGCTCAGTTGCATACTCTATTAAGACAACATGAAATTAGTTTTCAGTTTAGGAGCAACACTGAGCCCAGATTTAATCAACATTAGGGTGAAAGGCGGATGCTCTTTGTCAGCCAATGATAATTTGTTTTTGAACGTAAAGCCTCTGGGAGTACTTAATCATTAGAGCTTAATTTACAGGGTAGAGGACAAGAACAACCAAAAGAGAAAGACGTAGTCTCAGAGATAAACGGCAACATCTGGTAACTACATGTTATGCTAAAGGTTCCTCAGACAGAAAAAAGTCTGTTCTGGTATATCTTACCTTGGATGACATGAGAGTTGTCCTTCAGGAAGAAATTGTACAAGTACTTTGGAATGAAGGCAGACATGCAGGCATATGCTAATGCTACACAAAGAATAAAAAAATGTTAATATAAAGTAAAGATTAGCATTGACAAGAAAATATTGTTTTAGCCAGAAGTGCATGAATGTACTAATTTTAGGCTTTCAGTTGTTTATTTGAACATAAAACTTGACCTGAGTGGAGGTGAGGCTTTCAAACCTGAAAACATGCTAGAATTAAGTTGCATGTATGTTTGTATGTAATGTATGTTGTAATATAGATGGAGGATAACCTTAAAATTGACCTCCAAACAAAGATTCAATTGTGGAAATGGGAAAAATAATGATGTTCCTTTAGGACAATGAAACTTTGACTTCAATCACTCTGTTTAAATGTAATGACTAAATTAAAAAGCTATGTTTGTGGCATTAAAGCTAATCTGAATGAGCCTTACATCTTCTGCTAAAAAGAGGAGCCAAGAATTAAATCAGAGTAACACATCCAATTTCTATGCAACCCGGAAATCAAATATTGCTGATAGTGTATTTATATATTTAAACTTGATAATTTAAGTATATGTGCAACAGTTCCCTAAATTCCTGTCAAAATGGTTAAAGTGTTAAATTAAATGCACAGTCAGTTATGAAAAAAGGGGTTTGAAATAAAAGATTTCACAAAAAAATAAATAAAAAAATCAATATGAACTTGATGTTGGTGATGAGTGCATGCAAGATGGAACTGTAATCTAAAAAGTTTTAAAGAGATCCTCACCTTCATTATTGAAATTCAAATACAGGAAAGGAGCACAAAGCGAATCCAAACCTAAAAGGAAAATCGTATCAAACAGATTACAGACCAAACCAAAACCTGCGATCTAGAAATCTAGCTTCTAAAATAGGGCATAATCGCCATCTAGTGTTTATATCGAAGTATTACTATGTTGAAATGCTAATGAAACAAAGAGTTAAACAGAAAAGGAGATGACTGGTAGGGACTGACCCTGCCAGTACACCAGGTCAGGGTGGGAGACCACCCAGGCTTTTAACACACGCCTGAACTTAATATGACCCTGAGGAGATGACAGAAGCTCATCGTATTGGTGGCAACGTGGGATGTCTACCTCGATCTGCAGCGAAAGATAAACACATATTTAGCAAAAAGAGAAATTCACCTGAAAAAGGACAACCTACTCAATGGTTTGCGTTTACACCGTTCCCATACCTGTCTGTCAGTTGGTATGGGAGTGTCCTTGTCGATGCTGTCATACTTTGCTTGAATGTCACCCTGTACCAAAAAAAAAATGCAAGAAAACATTAACCAATGAGGCTTTTTTTTCTCCATTTGATTTATTCTAATATTTACTTTAGGTTTGTACCTCAATGCCAAGCAAGGCTGCCCAAGCCAGACCTCTAACCAAAGGAGGAATATCCAATCTGGCCTCTTTCCACACAAGGTTCTTCTTATATGGATAGCCCTGAAGTTCAAACATTTTTAGTGCTGTGAAAAACTCACCCATTAAAATGTAATAAGACCCTAAAACTAAACTGTAGGAAAACTGACAAAACGGTGTTCTACAATTTTTACAAAAAAAAATAAGACCAGAAATCTGAGTGGTTTACATTTATATTTAGCTCTTCTGAATAAATTTCATGTAGAACTGCCTTTTCAATACATTTCCAACTTGATGTCAGCTTTTCCATTAAGATAATTGAATTGTTGCCTCTTCCTGCAATATAATTCAATCTCAGTAAAACTCCATATATGCAGCTATGGATAACAATTTAAGTTGTGACATACAGGTGCTGGTCATAAAATTAGAATATCATGAAAAAGTAGATTGATTTCAGTAATTCCATTTAAAAAGTGAAACTTGTATATTATATTCATACATTACATACAAACTCATATATTTCAGATGTTTATTTTGTTTAATTTTGATGATTACAAATGACAACAAATGAAAATCTCAAATTCATCATATCAGAAAATTAGAATATTGTGAAAAGGTTCAAAATTGATGGCCCCTGGTGCCACACTCTAATCAGCTAATTAACTCAAACCACCTGCAAAAGCCTTTAAATGGTCTTTCAGTCTAGTTCTATAGGCTACACAATCATGGGGAAGACTGCTGACTTGACAGTTGTCCAAAAGACGACCATCGACACCTTGCACAAGGAGGGCAAGACACAAAAGGTCATCGCTAAAGAGGCTGGCTGTTCACAGAGCTCAGTGTCCAAGCACATTAATAGAGAGGCGAAGGGAAGGAAAAGATGTGGTCGAAAAAAGTGTACAAGCAAGAGAGATAACCGCACCCTGGAGAGGATTGTGAAACAAAACCCATTCAAAAATGTGGGGGAGATTCACAAAGAGTGGACTGCAGCTGGAGTGAGTGCTTCAAGAACCACCACACACAGACGTATGAAAGACATGGGTTTCTGCTGTCGCATTCCTTGTGTCAAGCCACTCTTGAACCACAGACAGCGTCAGAAGCGTCTAAAGAGAAACAGGACTGGACTGCTGGTGAGTGGTCCAAAGTCATGTTCTCTGATGAAAGTAAATTTTGCATTTCCTTTGGAAATCAAGGTCCCAGAGTCTGGAGGAAAAGAAGAGAGGCACTTCATCCACGTTGCTTGAAGTCCAGTGTAAAGTTTCCACAGTCAGTGATGGTTTGGGGTGCCATGTCATCTGCTGGTGTTGGTCCATTGTGTTTTCTGAGGTCCAGGGTCAACGCAGCCACATACCAGGAAGTTTTAGAGCACTTCATGCTTCCTGCAGCTGACCAACTTTTTGGAGATGCAGATTTCATTTTCCAACAGGACTTGGCACCTGCACACAGTGCCAAAGCTACCAGTACCTGGTTGAAGGACCATGGTATCCCTGTTCTTAATTGGCCAGCAAACTCTCCTGACCTTAACCCCATAGAAAATCTATGGGGTATTGTGAAGAAGAAGATGCAATACACCAGACCCAACAATTCAGAAGAGCTAAAAGCCACTATTAGAGCAACCTGGGCTATCATAACACCTGAGCAGTGCCACAGACTGATCGACTCCATGCCACGCCGCATTGCTGCAGTAATACAGGCCAAAGGAGGCCCAACTAAATACTGAGTGCTGTACATGCTCATACTTTTCATGTTCATACTTTTCAGTTGGCCAACATTTCTATAAATCCTTTGTTTTTATTGGTCTTCAGTAATATTCTAATTTTCTGATATGATGAATTTGAGATTTTCATTTGTTGTCATTTGTAATCATCAAAATTAAACAAAATAAACATCTGAAATATATGAGTTTGTATGTAATGTATGAATATAATATACAAGTTTCACTTTTTAAATGGAATTACTGAAATCAATCTACTTTTTCATGATATTCTAATTTTATGACCAGCACCTGTATATTTCCAATTGAATCCAATCTCAACTTTGACTGGGTCTTTTTAAGACATAAATGTGCTTTCATCTCACACTGCTTTATAGGTTGGCATTGTATTTAGTTTTGTTGTGTTGCTTGAAGAAAAACCTCCAATATTCAGTAATCTGTAGCCTACAACAGATTTTCTTCAAGAAAAGCCCAGAGTTAAGCTCCGCTGCTCTTCACAGAAACTCTGAACAATCTTCACTTCTCTAATAAAGCACAGCATCATACTGCCACCACTATGTTCTGAGGTGGGAATGATGCATTTAGTGGGAAGTGACTGCTAGCATTTTCGCTCATTGTATAAATGGCAAACACATGTCCACATGTCTTTTTCCTTTCACCCCAAATGTTTACTTTAATTTTGTTAAACTTTCACATAAAAACAAAAATGAATACACTAAAGATTCTAGGCTGGTAACCATTCAATCCCAGGCATGGATTCTCACTGTGTCTAGAGATGCACATAAATACGTATGCTGCCCTGACCTTCAGCAGCCTGTCAAACAGGATGATGCGGATGAGCTGGTACTCTGTGTCCCTCTCGCGGATGATGAGTGGCAGCGTGACAGTGGACGACAGCTCATTGCTGCTGTTAGACTGCGGCAAACTCGCCTGCCTGGAGGAAGGTGGAAAAGGGATGTGCCATTAGTCGTGCCAAAAAATAAATAAATAAATGACAAGGGGATGTGATGTGAAAAATAGTGACTGAAAGGAAGGTTTGTAGGATCTTAAGTTGGAGGAGGCTTACTCGTCTTCTAGTAGAGGGTAATACGCTTCTCCAGCGACATCCTTCAGTCTCTACGGAGAAATTACATTCTTTCAGGTCCTGTTTGCAACTTTAGTCTGTGACTAGATTTAGCACCAAAACAGTCCAATCTGATATACCCTGTCATTTATGTAAAACATGAACAGCCACACAATTTAATAATTTGCAAATACAATAAATGGACAAAACCAAAAAATATATGCATTTTAAATTATAAAAATACTAACTCTGTAAAACAACTGAATCAAAAAGATATATATATATTGCTCATTTTAAATAGAACTAAATGAAGAAATAAAAAAATCATATTTCACTTTCACTTCAATTTATTTATGTATCTGTAGGATGTACGACTTACTCCTCTTCTGAAAGTGTCTGAGTTTGTTTATTGATTGTTTGGTTTCTTGGCTTGAAGCCAGCTGTAAATCATAGTTCACAACTTTTCAAAATGGAGCCAGAATCGTCTCATTATTTTAACGTTTGTCTGCCTTTCCAGCCAAGTTTTGATGTTTGTTTGGGAATAATGTTCTGCAACAAAACTGTATGGAGGGTCAGTGAAAAATAAAACCAGAATTTAACAATTTTAATCATGAGATTTGAAATCCAATTGCAAGAGCATTTTCTAATTGCACATTTTAAATTGAATTATAAAAGAGAAATTGTAAATTGTATTACAATTGTATTCATTATTAAACACTGAATTAATCACATTCAAAAAGGTTATTTATTTATTATTATTATTTTTTCAACTTGCATCTTTTTGAAATTGCATTGCTGTTTACTTTACCTTTATCGTGACCCTTCTAGTCTCTGAGCACAATGAAAAACACTTTAACAAAACACAGTTGCTCCTCAGATAGAACCAACTCTCTCATTGGTCATTTTGTTAATAAAGTGTGATAGTCTAACCAATGAGAGTTCAACTGCTTTCCAATCTGCTCTGCGACCAGAAGGGTCAAGGAAAAGGTAAATGGAGAGGCTAAATATCTAATTGATATATATTCTTTAGGTCTATAACATGCTTTCATAAGGGAGGGAGGGAGGGGTTCAACTGATGTCCTCATCTTTCTTTGGGTCAAACAAAATAATAATAAGTCCAAAAAAAATGTATATTAATCAGGAAAATATGCCTTAATGGATTAAATTTAATGTATTTTAGAAATTTGGTTTAGCAATTGAGAAGCAACGTCAGATTTTTTTTTTTTGCAATACATTTTCTTAACAATAACTTTGAATTACTTTAGTTTTTCCCCCTCAACACGTTTACTGTCTAACTAAAAATAGAGGTAAAAATATTTTTACCTTCACCTTCAAGTAATCTGCCTACAAAAAAAAACCTCACATCTTGACACAGTCCAGTAAATAATCTGCCTTACATTTCTAAGCTGGCATAAAGACAGCGTCACTGTGGTGTCATCAAGTAGAAAGCTTCGATCTCTCCCTTGGCCAAACCATTCCCCATCTTCTAAGACAAACCTGGAAGAAAAAAAAACTAAGTCAGGCAAACATAGCGAGTTAAAAACATCATGTCATGATTTTTTTTTTTTTAGAAATCCCTTCTATATCTCAGTGCGTGTGATGTACTTTGGCAATGTGCAGACTGGAGGTTTGGATTGGATGATTTCCTTGTTGGTTAATTCTTTCTCCAGGTCTCCACCAGCAAGGCACCATAGATGGTAAACCTCATCGATGCCCCTCTCTGACAGGTAGTCGTCATCGTCATCTATGGTTACAAACAGATAAAGGTGTAAGTGTTTGCAGTCAGGGACAATGAGACAAAAAACAATACTTTACATTGTACAAATAAGATGAGATTGATTTATTTTGCTAATTATAAACAAACGGTTTGGCTCTAAAAAAGATACATTTAAACAATATAACATTATGTATGCCAATGTATTTGGAAGAGACCTTTGCAAAGCTCGCTGATGTCATCTGGGAGCTCTAGGTGTGCACAGCGCAGGGAAGACGAGAACAAACTGACAGGCTTCTGGAAAGGGGTGTAGTGGCAGGAAATGCCATCAAAAACAGGGTCTCCAAGGAGCTCAGCAGGGGTTGGCCTTTGATATCACACAAAGAATGGACAAATTAATTAATCAGAATTTGAAATGTACCACTAAAGCAGCCAAAAAAGGAATTTTGTCAGTTTTCCTTCCTAAGCATTTGGCAAATCAAATGCTGACAAATTTATTTAACCCCATTTTGTAAATGCATCAAACATATCAATCCAGCAAAGACGTTTTAATGCAAAGGTGTTTCAATAGACATATGGTGAATAAAACTGAAATTATAAGGTGATTCATTGATTTGCTTTAGGTTTCAAAACGATGGCCTCTACCAAGAAACTTTCTTCCAGATGAATGGAAGAACCTGGCAGAAAGGGGATTTTTTTCCCCATTTCTTCCAGAAGAAACTGGAAGAAAGTCCTGGTAACAGATCATATTTTGGAGAACTGGGATAGTTCCATTGAAAAGTCAACTCACTATATCCACCAGGCTACATAAGGAGAAATCCACCAGGGAAACACCCTTGGGGAAAACCCACCAGAGGAAACCCATCAGGGAATTACATATTTAGTACAGAAGTAATAATCTACTAATAGCCTTTAAATGGTAGGAAAACACTTTCTTGTAGACTCAGATGACACCAGCTGGCTTTCTTTATCCTTATTGTGTTCTGCTATTCATGCCCTGAAATAACTATTATTTATATTATTATAGATATTGAACCCCAACTCTAGGTTTTTACTGGATTTGGGCCTGCTTAAGGCAAAGTATTCAACAAAAGGAACCACACCTTCCAGTAGATTTAACCTACCAAGTTACTTCCAGAAGAAACGTTTTCATACGGCCGGAAAAAAACATGGAAAAATCCTAGAAGATAATGCCCTCCGGAAGAAACTTCCAAACCTGTTTGAGTTCATTGAGTATGTCAAATTTTTTCATTATTAATTATACAAATGAAAAAGAAAAAAGTGAATAGTTGACTGATTCATATTTTTTTTCCTCTTGCTCTCTAAATACGATGACTATACAGGGAAAGCAAGGATAAAGTACTAAAATAAAGAATTGGAAAATCAAAAGCTAATATGTTGACAGCAGTCATTATCCATATAAAAAAACCACGCAATCCAAAACAATCCAGAATGGGTGCCTTTTTATGGATGTTTTGGGTGTTATTGAGAGTCTTTAACTCATTGTTCAAACTCACAGAGCTTCAAGGAATTTAACTTGTGAGAACCATGTAATAAACAGAGGAAATATGGAACAAACCCTTTATTTACCTTTTAGATGGAAGAAAGGTCAAACATTTCCTTAATAGCTCAACAACATTCTCAGGCAGCTCCTGTGAATGAGGCACAAATGTGTCATTGATCAGCTAATTTACCCATTAAAGTTAATACAAAAGCTTTCATTTCCAAAACACAAATGCAGTCAGTTGAAAGAAATGAATTTGGCAGATTGTAAAAAGTATATTTTATTAGCTTTATTATTCAGCAGGTTTAATTCTCCAGAATACAGAACCTCCCATCTAAAAATGTTTGTACATGTTTTATACTTTTATTTTAAGTGGAGAGAAATTGTTCCTAAAGTCTGTTATGAAACATAACTAAAATACTGGAGAAACTGCTTTTAACATGTTTGAAGTTTAGAATTTTGATACTTTTATGAATGAAACATAATCAAATAAACTTTTTTATGTACTTGTAAAACAGGAAACATCTTCAGCCTTTACATAACGTCCAGTTTAAACCTTCATTTCATTTTCCATGCCATATAACTTTTTAAGATTAAATAGATTTACATGTCTTATTTTGGAGGTATTGTGCGTCAGATTACGTAATTAAACAACTACGGTTTACCTTAATAACTTCCAAACATCCGTGTTCCTCAGCAAGGACAGTGACAATGTCATCCATGCAGCCTAACAAGAACAGATAAAGTCACATTTTAAGCCCAGCTGAATTTAAAAGTATATTCCTCTGCACTCAGATAAATGAAATCCCGTTCACTCACCTAAGGTTAAAATGAATTTCAGTTTTTCACTTATTTCAATGTTCTGCAAGATTCTTCTTCCCTACAGAGGAATAATAGCATCAGTTCATAAACTCAGTCCAGTTTAAAAAAATAAAATTCAACATCTAAAGAGGTTTGGGTGGGAGGGGGGATTCTTACTGCACATAGTTCAAAGAGTATGATTCCAAGCGACCAGACATCGGTCTTGGGTCCTGAGGGCTTTGGCGCTTCATCATGTGACGGATCAGTGGGGTGGAAGGAGCCCAGGGCGATCACCTCTGGAGCAAGGTATGATGGGTGTCTGGAGTTGATGCGATACAGCATGTAAGCACAAACCTGCCATCCTTTGGTATGAAACCAAAGAGATACAAGCGTTGCTCTGACCATTGACAAACAGTTACATGAGAAAATGAAAGAAGAAACGACTCACCCGATGGGAAAATCAACATCTGCCCCATGATCAGTCATATGATAGAGCCCAAACTTTGCCAGTTTAACATTACCCTAAAAATAAGAAAAAAACTTTTACAAAATGAAAGTTTTTATTTATGTACAATAACAATTTCGTTTAAAAGACAAGCAAATTTTTAACGGAAAAACATCTTTTTATGTCAATCTATGTAATTTAACTAGTTTTAATTAATGTAAAACAAAGATATTTAAAATCCAAAGGTAGGAGTTTATTTCTTTAAAATATGCATGTAATAAATTTAATTTAATGGGATGAAATAATTAGCAGTATTAATTGTGATTATTGAATTAATTGAATCAACTAATTTAGTAATATATTAATTGTTAACTGGAGTATAGTGTACTGTACTCTCCTGTCAGACTTTTAGCCGATAGCGGAGTAATTGTAACAAAATTATTAAAATATATATTCATATTTTGCATTTGAGAAAAAAACAAAACAAAAACGTTTTTGTCTGACAATTCGCTCCATCCAGCACTGCTCGAGTGGAAAAGTTTTAGTTTCACTTGGTTTCATTTTGTAAAAAAAAAAAATAAAATTATTTTGATATAAGATTAATAACCAAAAAAATAACTGACAGATTAATCAATTAGCAAAATAATCGTTAGTTGCAGCTCTAAAATAAAAATCATTTCATCATTATTTTCTTTCGATGTATGACTTTTATGAAACAAGGTGTCTACAGTATTTCGGTAAACAAGAGTGAAAGTCTTAAAAAAGTGAAAACAATACACCACCTTGCAATCCGTGAGCACATTGTTTGGGCTGAGGGCTCTATGAACCAAGCCATGTTTGTTCATGAACTGCAGAGCTTCAAGAACCTCATAGGCTATTTGCAGCACCTTCTCTGGACTAAAACAAACACAGTCAAATCAGATTGGTGAGGCATCCGTTTCTCACAACAACATTTGTTCTCTGAAAATTAAGTTACTGTAGACATATTTACACAATACCTTTGCATAAACACATAAAACAAAATGTTGTAAACTACTTTCTGTTTACCCAACATGAATTACCTTGCAAAAATCTTGGGCATATATATACTCATTGAACTTTTATCCACTTTGTCGCATTGAAAATTGAGGATGTTTGACTGGCATTTTATGTGATAGACCAAAACAATTAAATTCCCAATTGCGAAGCAGAAGAAAAAGATTAAGATATTTCTTAACCTACAAATAAAAAACCTGAAAAGTATGGAGTATGCTTCTATTCTGCCTCATTTACATCGGCTTTCCTATGTAAAATCATGTGCAATCAACTGTAGTTAAAAAAGGACATTACCCAAAACTGCAGATCATAGTTCAATGAAATACAGGAGAATTCTGGAAGGCTAACAGAGATCCAAACATCAGGCTATAAAATCCCACAATATGGCCTTTACCAGAGAGTTACAAGAACAGAGAAAGCTATACATGCATTGTGTGGGCCGGAGGTCTTTGATGGAGGGGCCTGTTACCCCTAGGGGGTCCATAGAGGTACTGCATGGGGGTCGCATTTCTTTTTATATTCCCCCCTGCAAATTTTTCCACTAATTGAAATGTATTTAAATCCACATTAACATGAATTTAAAACACTGTAGTAAACAGATAAATGGAGGCAGAAGATGTCTTTCAGTCATCAATGCAAACATTCAGAGACACAAAGGAACTCTTTCAAGCTGGGCACCGTTTCATTCACAACACCTGTCCCATCAACCAGCAATCAGAAGCAGAAATACTTTAATTATCCCAGGGTGAAATTACTTTCATTACATTACTCCATCTGTAATAGAGTGACTATAGGACCAGTTTGGTCCTTATATGGAAAACTTTTATCCCACCTGACTGTAAGACTCAGTTGAATTTCCCTGTAAAGTGCCTTGACATTACAAGTGTTGGGAATTGGTACTATATAAGTAAACTGAATTGAATCTGAACTCACGTTGCCGTTTGTCCTTGTCTGAAATCACCTACATTTCTTGAATAGTGCTCTGCAACAACAATCAGCCGTTCTATGGAGCAAGAAAAAAATGAAAAAAGTTATCAAAATCATACATCCATATAATAACCTACTTCACCAAAACCTGTTATTTATTTAGAGTAAGCGTGCATAGATCATTAAAAAATTCCCCTAAAGCAAAAGGGAGAAAAACTACATGTAAAAGGTTTATAGTATGCATAGACATTCCACAACATTTACCCTTAAACTAGTACACCTTGGTATTGTTATACAGAGCATGTAACATCATCAATGACCCCTTACACCCCCACCATGGACTGTTCTCCCTGCTGCCCTCCGGAAAGAGGCTCCACAGCATCCGATGCAGGACCAGCAGGTTCTGATACAGCTTCTTCCCCCCTGCCATCAGACTGCTGAACTGTTAAAATCTAAACTGGACTCAGCATCACACTCACAACATTATTTTGCTACCAACGTAGTTAAATGTTTATAATTCCTTTAAACAGAACCCAACTCAATGTTATACTACATTTGGCATCATATTTATTTTGTGCTGCACTGAACCTTTCCAAATTAATGCCCTTTAGCACCAATATTTTTAAACTGTTTTTTCTTTTCTCCTGTACTGTTTACATGATGATCACTGCTAGTTCATTTCACTGTTGTAAGTTGGAAACAACGTAATTGGTGAATACGAAATGACAATAAAGTTTGCCTGAGTTTATTTTGGGTATATTTGGATATTCCTGGAGGAAAATAAAAGCAAAGAAATCTTATTTTCTATCATGCATCGTGTATTAAAGTTGTCTATTGGTGAAGCTGAATGATAATCATGGTCTCAGCAGGCATACCATGTTTCCCTCTGGTAATATCCACATACTGGCACAGTCTGGGGTGAGTGACGGTCTTTAGGATCTGGAAACGCCCCAGGATTTTGATGGAGTTTGGCGTGAGGGGGAGACCATTGCTGCCACAGACATCATGAGGGAGAGATGAGGCAAAGAAGGTGAAAGCGCCCAGTTCAGCGTCTCTAAGAGGCTTCATCGATACAGCGGACAGTCCTGAGAAATAAAGTTTCATTTTAATATCACATGAAAAGAGGAAGTGAAATTAGAACAACTCATTCATGCGAACAACGGGTCCGTTACTAGAAAAAATACAGCTCGGTTGACAGGTTTTTAAACACTGATGATGAAATTCAGTCTACACCTACAGCTGAGAATATTAATTGCTACAGTAAATCAGTGTACTGATGCGGTGTTGATTCAAATGTAAGTGACCCTGCCTAAAAAGAAAACGAAATTTAGCTTAGAGGCCAGAATAAAATAAAAAAAAACTAGATTACATTACCTTAAAACGTTGTCTTCTTACGCCGAACAAGCTGTATTTTCAAGTATATTGATAAATTTGAAGAAATGCAGCGGAAATGTTATTTTTATTTCTGATTCTGTAGGTACGACGTCAGACTGAGCGTGACCAGTGACGCAATATTTGTGCGACAGAGCTGTGAATTTTTTTTTCTAGAAAAAAACAAAAACATGTAACACATACAATTTCAATTATGAATAAACAGCCATATCTATATTTAAAAAAATCCTTTTCATTTGTTTCAATGCAAAATTCTTAAAGCCATTACCTGCAACGACTGTCGTCACTTCCTGTTTTGCTTAAAATCACAGATATATAAAACATATGAACGCAGAAGACTTGTTGTAAACTATGTTACTTTTTTTTTATCTACATGCTTTAACAATTTAAAGCATCTCAGTCCAGAGCATACAGCCTCTAGCCTGCTAAAAAGCCACGGACCAAATACACAGACACTAGTACAAAAATATATATTTCATGAAGTGCATAAATAGCTTGGATAATAAAAATCATGCTTTTTCTTATGAGGTTTCATATTTTCTTGGTTTAGGATTTATTATCCTGTTGTTACTCGTTGACTCATCTGTAAAAGAGTAAAAGAAACAATTATATATATACTACAAAAAAAGAAGAAGAAAAAAAAAAAACCACAATCTCTCAGATTAATTTCGAAAACCATAGCCCAGCAATTAGTCTGAAAAAAAAGTGTATCTGTAAACTGCAGAACTGTGCAAAGTGGTAGCAGGGCTCCATCTAGTGGTGGAGCCTCGTAGTTTCAGTAAATTACTTATTTGACGGCAGTTGACACCGCAGCAGCCTGTCTGCGTCAGTCTCAGGACAGCACAAGAAGCATCTCCTGTTTCATCCCAGCTGTAGACCAGGGAGCACATCTCACAGATAAAGGTAAGTTGGATCCCAGCTCCCTGGATGGCTCCTCTACTACAACGCACATTATAATCATGTTTCTTTCATATTTAAATTTAAAGGATGCTGACCTGTCATGCAAAAAAGAAAAGAAAAAAGAAAAAGAAACATGTCAGGATGCAGATGAATGTTCTATGTTGCCTGCTGTAATTTGATGCCATCTAAAGTGTTAAAGGTGCGCATGAAGGCTGGTTAGGCCTGAGTGGCGCAGTTTCAATTGAAAGTATTTTTCATGAAGAAGGTGGTGCTGTGGAGCCTCAGCTTCGCCCGTTGCTGCTTTCGCAGTAGAATAAACAGTGCCGTGTACCAGTCTGGGAGGATGCTGAGGGATGCGGGACGCTCCTCGAAACGCCCACCTCTGCAGTATTGCATCAGCAGCGTGCGCTTATGTTTCCCTTTGCACATCCTTCCACCTTAGTTTTATTCATCACTATTTAGACTTGTTCCTTTCTTTCCTTTGGAATCTTAAAGCTGGAATCATTGGGGCAGACAGGTGCATCACCTGCTATGTTATTCAGCATTTTCATGATCAGATATGTTGATAGATACAATGAGTTGATACGATTTTCTGAAAATATCTATTCCCATATAAACAGAGAAATTCAGATCAATTTGCCTTTTTAATTGAAACTCAGACATGCGCATGAGCCCGGAACAGTAAGCTTTTAAAAGTCTGTTTGAAAGGTTTAAAGTAAACCAAAATGTAACTTTAGATTGACGGTATCTAGATTTTCAGTGTTTGCCATAGATTACTTCTTTGCAAAAAAGGCAAGGCTTGGTTCATTTGAAAAATTGAGATTTAATATTGTAGCTATACTTTCCATGTGGGGATAAACTAAACTTCAAATATACTTTTTAAAGTCGACAAGTATTGCCACTTCTGTATAGGAAATTATCCTACACTCTAACTTCAAATTATTCCCTCAACTGGTAACAAGTAATTGAATTAAACTGATTCAGCTTAATTTATTTAGTTTATATGTTGTTATAAACTTGTTGTAAATTCAAGCGTTTCATTTAAGTGTGAGCTGCATTCTATTTTTACAGTGCATGACAATAATAGCACTTATTGAGTAATACTGGAGATAAAAATACACAAAGATTGGAATAATATTTAGAGAAAATAATAATATATTTTCTTTTACATTTAAACCTAATTTAATGTTCCAAATACTGCAGTCTTTAGTTTTCTTCCTTGTCTTAATTGTTTTCTATATGTCCGCTCGTCTTTATTTTGCTGTTGAGCAGATCTTTCTCAGCAGTTTTTGTTTGCTCATCAAAAAGCATGAAAGCATTTGCAAGAAGTCCGATTGAAATGTCATTGAACAAGCAAAATCCCCCTCAGCGTGACTCAACCGAAAGCTTCTTCCTCTCCTTGGACCACTGGTTTTACATCAGCAAGATGTTTGCATTGCTTAAGGGATGTGGGAAAAAAGTCTGCAATCTTCATTTATTCTGATATTCTGCTTTGACCCACTGGTGCACCCTGGGGCAGGACATAAAAAATGGACATGATTGTGTAAAGCTGCCATTTCTGATTCCAAATATTTTTTGTTGTTGTTTTAATTAAAACAATTGCAACTTAAAGTGAGGTCAACTGCTACAATCAGTTGTATTCTGTGTTTTGTTTGTAATTCTCCATTAACCTGTAAGAAGCTTGCTGTTCTTTTCCCCAGGCATTAACTTTACAAACAAGCAATTCCATGCACACACTATTTACATTACCTCTGACCAGCCTATGTGAGATATTCCTCTAGTAACCTCAAAACATATGGGAAACAAACCTATTAAGGTAACTGAAGTAACACCTTGCAATAACATACTGTAAATATGTTGGATTTTAAGGTTATCAAAGTCCAGTAAAGTCATCAATCTGATATTTGAAGCTACTATGTTTTTTCGTAATCATTGCCGACTGATTTCAGTGGGTGAACTGCTGCAGAGTTTCCCTTTCAGTCTGTCCTTGTATAATTAGATTACAGTAAATGATGCAGAGGTTTATGCAGCTGCTGGTAAAGTTCAGTATCTAGTTCTGCATTGCAGTGTGGTTAACCATTAAAGAGGGATGCTGCATTGGCTTTATTAAGCTTAATTTCTTATTCAGAATTAAAAATACTTTATTTTATTTTGGTCAGATGATATCGTGATTAAAGTATGAACATAACATAAGTTATAATCTTTACTGATAAGCATTGTACCTAATGTGAAGATAGCTTTTTCATGTATTGTTTTTTTGTTGGTTCAAACATTTAGGATCGTCTTCCAGGCTGAGCCAGCATGGGAAAGGAGAAGCTCCACATTAACATTGTGGTCATAGGACATGTGGACTCTGGCAAGTCCACAACCACAGGCCACCTCATCTACAAGTGTGGGGGCATTGACAAAAGAACGATTGAGAAGTTTGAAAAGGAAGCAGCAGAGGTAATATTCATCTGTTTACCACTTTTAAGGATTCTCAGCCTTGCAAGTAGAGCAGCTAATTTTAGTGTATCTGGGTTAATCCATTGCTTATATTCACATTTTCTAGTAGTTTTTTTTATTCAAATCTTATCAAGTTAAACCAGAAACCTGGGCTAATACATACAGATGAAAGCGTGATGTCATAGTTTTAGGAAGACATGCAGTATAAGGCTGCAGCATCAGGGCAACCTGTCAAGGAATCAACTAAATAGTCTTCTGTAAATTCAGCTAAACTCATTCATTTAGCCTTTGTAACCTAAAAAGGGACAGCATTTAGTGGATCTAAAAAAAATCTACAATTCATTTCAGAAATCACTGCGATTGCTCAACAAATTATCCCATGCAGCTCAAGCCACCGTTTATTACCAATGATTACATCACTGCTAACTATTTTGATCAAGAGCTGAGAGAAGAATCTTTACAAAATAAAAGCTGTACATTAAGCCCAAGCTTACTCTTATATATAAACATCACACTAAATAGCAGTTTTCTCAGATGACAATAAATCTTTGCTCTGCATTAACACCTAAATAGGATAGAAAATGACAGATAAGCTTCATCTCAATTTTTATGCATTGGTTCTGTTTACTACTTGAGGACATCTAAACTATGATTTTCAACACACATTACTGCTTTAAGTTTGAAAAAAATGTCACAATATGGTAATTAAATATTTTCTATTAATTCTTATTGCTTAAGTCAAAAATTGTGTTGTTTTATTTAAATGTTACCCGGAAAAGTTACTAAAAGTTACTAAATGAAAATGACGTTTTTAGGAATCTGTTTTTTTCCTGAAGAGTTTAATTAGATTAAAAGAAGATGTTAAAAAATGGAAAGCTTTGATATTGACATCAAAAAATAAATTAGATGTATGCTTTTATTTTCTTCATTTTAAAGTGAGAGTTTTGTTGACTTTGTTAATCCTGTATGATATGAGTAGAGCTCAACAAGTGCAACTACAACATGTAGCAATTTAAACACTAGATTATAACTTTTTCCAAACTAAATATTTATTTGTTCATTTGAATGTTAGATGGGAAAGGGATCCTTCAAGTATGCTTGGGTTTTGGACAAACTCAAGGCAGAGCGTGAACGTGGGATCACCATTGATATCTCTCTGTGGAAATTTGAAACCAGCAAGTATTATGTGACCATCATTGATGCTCCAGGCCACAGGGACTTCATCAAGAACATGATCACTGGGACATCTCAGGTACAATCTAAATTAATACATATAAATCAAAAGCAATATTCCAGTTGCCTCATACTTTCTCCTTTCTTCCATCTTTCAGGCCGACTGTGCGGTGTTGATTGTGGCTGCAGGTGTGGGCGAGTTCGAAGCTGGTATCTCAAAGAACGGGCAAACTCGTGAGCATGCTTTACTTGCCTACACGCTGGGAGTGAAGCAGCTCATTGTTGGTGTCAACAAGATGGATTCAACTGAGCCTAACTACAGCCAGAAGCGCTATGAAGAGATTGTGAAGGAAGTCAGCACTTACATCAAGAAGATTGGCTACAATCCTGACACTGTGGCCTTCGTACCCATTTCAGGCTGGAATGGAGACAACATGTTGGAGCCCAGTCCTAATGTGAGTCTGACATTAGGTTTCTCCTGTAAACCCCTTTCATTATAAGCCACACTTAACATGCTCACTGAACCATGTAGAAACAGAGATGTAGCCTTTGAACTTCCTTGAATTTTTTTTTCAATTGGTAAATTTTTCACGTCGTAGATTTGAGGTGTCAAAC